CTGGGCGCTCGGCTGGAACGGACCCGGGGGTAGGAAGGCGACGGTCCCCGCCGGCTCTTCCTTGCCCAGGGTGCTCACCTCGGCGGGGCCGGCACCCAAGGAGCCGACGTCCTCGAAGGGGAGCTTGCAGGCTGGGGCGTGGGCCACCAGGACGAACTCCAGACGTTCCTTCTCCTTCTGCAGCTCTGCGATCTCCGACTCCAGCTCGGCTTTCTCCTCCTCCAGCTGGTCCGTCTCCTGGGGTGGCAGGGGGGTGGCATGAGACAGGGCTGTGGGGTGTGGCACCCTCCCTGTCATGTATCCCCCCAACCTCCCCAATCCTGGGGATATCATCCTCCCGTGTCCTCCAGGATGGGGTCATTCCTCCCTCCGGCTTCCCTGGGGATCCGTACATCCTCCTCTGATGTCCCCTGCTCGTGGGGACGGCGTCACCCCTCCTCCAGCATCCTCAGGTCTCGATCTGCCCCCCTTGACCTTCCCCTGCTCATGAGGGGAGTGCTGTCCCTCTCCAGCAGCCCTAGGTGTCCATCTGTCCCCCTCCTATGTCCACAGCATCCCTGCACCACCTTCCCCTCTGGCATCCCATGCTTCTGGGGACAGCCTTGTTCCCCCCCCCAGCATCCCTGGTGTCTGTCTGTCTCTCCCCCTCTGATGTCTCCTGTTCCCACAGATGGCATCCTCCTCCTCCGGTGTCTCTATGTGTCCTCCCACCGTGTCCCCTGCTCCTGGGAATGGCATTGTGTGTGTGTCCCCTGACATCCCTGGGGGACAACACTGCTCCCTCTGGACATTGGCCTGTCCCCCTCTGCCATTTCCAGCTGCCAGGAGTGGTTCCCTTCCCTGATGCCCCTGGGGTTTGGGACATACTGTCCCACTCCAACATCCCTGGGCATCAGTCTGTCCCCTCTGATGTCCCCAGCTCCTGGGGACATCATCGCCCCCTTCCAGTGTCCCTTGGTCCTGGGGACACTGTTGTCCCCATCGAACAACCCCAGCTCCCCAGGACATGCACCCATGGGCATCCATCTGTCCCTTCCAACACAGCCAGACCTGGGGACATCACCACCCCCCCAGTGCACCTTGGTTTTGGGACACCGCTGTCCCCGGCTCCCTGAAATCAGGGTCTACAGGCATCCCTCTGTCCCCCCTGTGATGTCCCCAGCTCTGAGGGCACCATCAACCCCTTCCAGTGACCCGTGGTCGTGGGGACAACAATGTCCCCATCTAATGGCCCCAGGATCTGCATCTGGGGGCATTGACCCATCCACCTCCAACACATCTAAGTCCTGGGACATCGTTGCCCCCTTTGTGTGCGTGGGTCCTGGGGACACCGCTGTCCCCAAACATCCCTTGGGACCTGCCCCCACAGACATCGACCCATCCCCTTACACTGTCCCCAGCCACTGGGGTCATCGCCATCACTCCACCACCCCAAGGAGGCACTGCCCTCCCCCCTCAGACACCCCCAGCTGCAGTGACACTGCCGTCCCCAGCGTGTCCCCAAGCACTCACCGCCTGCAGCCGATCAGTCAGCTCCCGGCGCCGGTTACGGCACTTGGCCGCTGCCAACTTGTTCCTCTCACGACGTACCCGGCGCTTCTCCTCCTCCTCCGGTGTCAGCTGCCAGAGGGATGGGACCGTTAGCCAGCTGCCACCCATGTCCCCAAGGTCCCCCCACCCTCGGGGTAGCCCCCACCCCACTTAAAGGACAGGGACGCCACTCACCGTCTCCTCGCGGCTGCGCCGGGGGCGGGCACGGGTGGAACGTGCCGGCGGTGGCACCGCTGGCCCTGTGGCAAAGGCACCCATGCCCGGCGTGGAGTAGCTGGGTCCTGGGAGGTCATAGGGATCGACGGGAGGGGGGTGCGCCATGGGTGCCCCTGGGGGCTGCGACTGGGCCACAGAGGAGATGAGGGTGGGCTGCACCAGCCACTGCAGGTCCTGGCTGGTGGTGATGGCCGTCACCGTGGGCACGAAGGAGCCGGGCATGTCCCCCAGGCCACTGCACTCCTGTGGAGATGGCAGGGACAGGGTTAGATCCTGCCCGGCAGCACCCATGGGGGGCTGGCGCCAACCACCCCTCCCCACCCCGCACCAGGGCCTCATGCCCCCAGCACTGACGTGTGACGCTGTTGCGCCCCCGGCACCGATGGGTGAGAGCCGCCCTGGCACTGCCATGCGACACCCTTGTGCCCCCGGCACCGACATGCAAGAGCTCCCTGGCACTGGTGCACGACACCATCGTGCCCCTGGCACTCATGTGCGAAAGCCCCCCAGCCCCGCTGCGGGACCCCCTTGTGCCCCGGCACCCAAAGCCTGGTGCACAGCACCCTCGTGCTCCCCTGCACCCGTGTGCGACACCCCTGTGCCCCTGGCACCAACACATGAGGCCCCAGCGCTTGTGCAGCCCCCCCAGCACCCAGCTCGGGTTGCCCCC